ATAAGGTAATGGGATCCTGAGCATATCCTTCGAGCTGGTAGAGTATAAGAAGGAATGAAATATACCTAATATAAATTTCAATATCAAGCCAATATATATACATATCTCCCTATAAGATCGAATACAACGCTCACTATATTATAGTAAAGTTGTAGGAGTGTTAAGTTTTTGAAGGAAGGAAAAGTGAGAGAAGTGATATTTGCATGTTGAAATTTAGGTATTAGAAAAGTTCAATCGCCTTTGCTTTTCAAATATTTCTTAAAGAAGAATAAAACATAATTTTTTCTTCATTTGTATGATGATAATTTTTAAAAGATCAAAAGCCCAGCAACTTGATCGCGGGAATAAATGTATTTCAGATTGGAAGTTAAAATCACAGTATGCCCATTAATTCATATATAATCTCGCTCCTGGACTGGATTGCACCAATATCAAATATATATTCAATGAATTCAATTTAGAATTTAGGACCCCGTCTAAGAAGAATAGGTTTCACAACAATACGGGAATGGCTTCAAGTGGGGCCAACCAATAGGCCACCACTCTGATAAGATAGGAGAGAAAACGGATAAAGAATTTAATTGGAACAGAATATAAGAAGATTATTCCAAAGTAGACGTCCTCAGATCATTTAGTTTAGAATAACTATCCAGAAGGCATGGTCTTGGTTTTTTACTCTTATTGCTCTGTCTATTTTGAATTTATTTTTAAAACTTTAAAATGCAAAGGCCCAATTATTCAGATCAACATGATTTGATATTGAGATTTTAATTGATGTCATTTCTGAGTTTGATGCATTTACAATTGATCCAACTCTTTCATTGATAACAACAACAACCAAATAGCATTCATCAAGCCTTTATCCCACCCATGTGGGGTCGGCATACATGAATCATTTTTCTCTTACATTTGTATCCTGTTAAGAGACAAATTCTCATTTAAATTCTAATAAAGAAAGTAATTTCTAATATTTTTTAACCAAGTCTTTTTTTAGAATTTACTTTACCATTCTTAATATAAGTTCAAATCTAATACGTTTACTCTCCTAAACGGCGTCATTTCGGAGGCCGTCATTTTTATGTGACCAAATCATCTTAGACGACCTCTCTCTAATTTATCTTTCATCGAGCTAACTCCACCTTTTCACATTATAAGTCTTTTCATATCTTGTCTTCTAAGAGCTATTACTTGGTTTCAAACACAAGGTGGGTTTGCCCAAGTTATTTTTCTATTTTCGGTTAGGTTTACATTCAAGGATTCAGCCTTAAAGCCCATATCTTTTCCGTTAATCAAATGGATTTCTCACTAAGACATTTGCAAAAGAGATGTACCTTGGTGTATGCTTTTTTGCTTGATGATTATTCTTCTTGTTGATAAGACTAGAGAGGTAGTTGAAGGTAAACTTGAATTATGGAGGTCAACCTTAGAGTCTAAGGGTTTTCGCATTGAGTAAGATCTTAAAACGGAAATATATGGAAGTGTAATTTTTAGTAGTAATAGAAACTAGTGAGCGATTTGTGACTTTGGGCGATACAAGTCATTAATAAGAGTACACGTTTTAGATATCTTGGAATCTATTGTTCAGAGTGATTGGTGAAATAGATTGGGGATAATTATCAACAGAAATTCAAGTTGGATGTTGAAGTTGGAGGAAGCATCGGGCTTTTATGTGATAGAAATGTACCCCTCAAAACTTAAGGGAAAAATTCTATAAGATGGTAATGAGTCCTACAATGCTTTATTAGGTGCCGAATGGTTGGCCTTTAAAAGAGAAGGCATTCCTAATACTAAGTTAAAGTGTGCGAGAGAATTGAGATGCTAGGTGGATGAGTGGCTTTACCCTTAGAGATAAGATACCGAAATGAGCATATACATGAAAAGGTTGGGAGTTAGCTCCAGTAGAAGATTAAGAATTAGAAAGAGAGGCGCCTTTAATGGTTGGTCACATTAAAAACGGCGGCCCTTTCGATGACCGGTTAGGAAGTAGAGGTATTAGATTTGACTTTATGTTAACAAAGGTAGGGGTAGACCTAAAAAAGCTCTGGTTAGAAATATTAGAAATGACCTTTTCTTTATTAGGGATTTAAACGATGAATCTTGACTTTTAATAGGAAGCAATGGAGAAAAAGATTCATTGTAGCCGACCCCATGTAGTGGGATAAAGGCTTGATTGTTTGGTTGTTGTTGTTTGTTGTGTTGTTTGTATCTTATCATTATCCACCTGAACATCCTTATCTCCGCATACCTTACTTAATATTATGCTTTCTCTTTTTTTATGGCCATCCATTCGCACCATGGATGGCTTTTCTTTGTAGGATATTACAAACATACCAATTCTACCCATTCATTATGTTTAACTATAACTACAAAGCTTCTTCTTGAAAAAATAAATATTTGATATTCGTCATATTAAGCACTACCAGCATATATTCCTCCCTTTTGTCCATAGTTCAGCACAGGGGGAGTTGGACAGATAATGATAACCCCCTTTAGCCCCTTAGTTAAATTTGATTCCTAAAATTTCCCATCAGATCTGGAAACTTTGGAAATTGCTAAGGGAAACAAAATCTTTTTTCCCGAACAATTTAGAAGCTGTAGTTGACCCAAAATCAACATTTTTTTTACCATCTCTTTTTTTTAAGTGAGCTTATTTCTTAGTATCGATATAGTTCCATCAAGCATTTAACATCATTGAGTCTCACACATTTGAGTCGCGCTTCGTTTAAGCCTGTGTTTTTTGAACAAACTGAAAGTCTCCACTTGATCCTCCAACATTTGGGTCTTGTTGAATAAAGTCCACTTCTATTAGCCATAATGGTGAATTGAGTAAAAAAAGATGTAAATACCGTCAATATTTTCACTCAATTTCTTTCTTTTTATTGCTAATGAGGAACCAACCTCCAACTTTCACTAATTTTTGATTGATTCCATGATGTCATGCCGCTGCAATGATCCCACAGCCTCTTGCCGCTAGAAAGCTTATGTCCTTTTTCATTGGCCTCTACCTCTTCATATTGTTCTTCTTAACAATCACAATGATTGAGTGGACTCGACTAAACAACAGTAGAGAATTAGGCTTGGAATCTGAAGGTTTTTTATCTTCAAGTAATCCGTTTTAAATTAAGAGAGCTCTTGAAACTCGTTTATTTATTGTTACTTTGTGGATTGAGCTTGAAATTTAGTTCTTTGACAGCTCTCTCTTGGACGCCTCTTCAATCTTGTGCAGAGAAGAGATGACCCATCTATTGCACTGGTTTTCTTTCTGAATGATTATGAGCTTGTTCTCCAGTCCTTTATATTAAGAAAACATCCTAAGGCACTATTGATGCCCAAAAGGTATGAGTGACCACCACAGGTTTCCATTGTCACCATATTTTCGGTTGCCTATCTTTTTTATTTTTTTATTCAATGAAAGTAGTTGATAAGACTTTAAAGGTGGTTTAATTAGTCTGATGTTCCACAATCATGATTACCATTGAATAGGTGCACATACATTTATGTTTCACACATTCTAATACAATCAAAGTTGTAATATTGCATGCTTTTTGTGAAAAGAAAAAACCAAGTTTAAAAAAATTATCCAAATTAAGTTGCAAGGAGTAGAGTCTCAAAATTCAAAAAACAATAATAGTTATTGCCATGGTCCCTTTTTTCCCATTTTTCAATGAAAACACCCTAACAAGGAAAATACTTATAATGATTAAACTAACATGCATGAGAATATGTCTAGGGAATTCATTTTGAAAAAATTGTTCTCACTCATTCATTACTTTGTATCAAATAGTTTTTAGGGAACGGGCTTATGGAATCTTCATTCTTCCCCCCATAACCCCCCCCCCCAATTTTTTCTCCACAATTTCCCAAATAGAAATTTTTTCCCAACAAAAACCCAAAAAAAAAAAAATCATTTCATATCACAAGAATTTTTGAGGCTAAGCAAATGAATGATTGAAGGGATCTCACTGCCCAGCCCTTAATTTTTTCCAAACTTAGCATTTTGGTAAACCTAATTTCCCTTTAAAGATTTTTGAAAATGGACTGACATTGCACGTGCATGCTTTCATGCACATTATATATATATATATATATATATATATATATATAAACGTAGGGTCTTATAGTTCCTATTTGGTAACTGAAATGGTAAAATATGATTTTCATTTAGCCTTGGTGTCTATGTATGAGGGATGAGGAATGTTAGCATCCACCAGGGATGATGTTTTATTAGCTCATCAAGAATGTACAACACAACGCCTACTTATATCCTCCATTTTAGTTTGAAAATGCATATACACCGCATTCAAATCCATATATGTATATCTCATAAATCCTTTAGGGGTTTGATGGAAAGGAATTACAGAGTGCACAACTATGCATCGCAATTTTCTATTATATATCTAAAAGATTTTCCAATCAAACAACTTGTACACTATGACATTATAACCACCCAACAAACACTTAGCTTGTAGTTCTCCCTTCAGAATTTGGGGTTGTGTAAAGCGATCGAATTAAGGAACAGGTGATCATATATAAGAAATTGGTCAGATATTGCTATTATAAAATAAAAAATAAAATTGTGTTCAGGCAGTTATCATTATCATCTCTAGAGTATATATGTCAGGTTTGTCAAAACATTAACATTATGTAATAAAAAAAGGCTTTCTCGAGCAGGATTTTATTGCACTATAAAAGAGTATGGAAGAGTACACTGGAGAGTAAGCACGGTTAAATGCAATTTAGAAATTAAAACATGCAAATGGATTTCACAGAATCAGAGATATCATGAAATTGCTTGCAAAATAAATCAACAAAAATGAAGTACCTGTGGCCAATCATAAAGCGGATCACAATTCCATTTTCGCGTTCTAATCGTCGAAGCTTCTCCCCTAAGTGGTCATAAAATATTCTAATTATGTCATATAGAATTGGTGGAAGACAAATCAAATCAGTTATGGAAAATAAATTATAAACGCCAAGATTTTTTTTTCTTTCTTTCTTTGTTCTTTCTTTCTTTGTTCGATAGAACACACTGTATAGAAGTTGGCAGCATTCTCATTAGACATTTTGGGTAATTAATTCAAACAGAGCTGTTTGACATTAGTCTATACATGCATGCTTAGCAAATTTATTCGGATATTTGGTAGTGAGTATTTCTTGTGTAATTGATCGTGTGATTGAAGAATAATGCAGAGCAAATGCATGCATTTTGAAATTTCTGGTGTTCCACTAAAATTTCAATATATTTATAATTCTCTATCTAGTTCATTTTCAATGTATTTGGAATTCGAGTGAATTCTAAATACGCAGCTTGTGTAAAACATGACTCATCACTGTCAACTGTCGGCAGCTACTGCCACCGCCTAGTGCAATCGATTATCTCCATTGCCATCTGCTGACTGTCACCATCAGCAGTTGCCGCCTCCCACTGCCAGCCACCACCTATGCCAACCGTTGTTATTGTCAACCATCCATTGCCGGGCTGTCATTTCCATCAGCCAACCACCACCACTAGAACGCAATTCCACAACTGTTATAGTCAGTTTTTACACTAATTACTTTTATTTCAAGACAAAAACAATATACTCCTACATTTATAATGTACCTAACAAAACAATCCAAAAAAATTTCAATGCATTACATTTATTTTTCACTATATTCCTATTATTTTTTTTTTTTTTTTTTTTTTTTAAAATTTTTTTTTTTTTTTAGAATTTGACTTTTAATAGAACACAATGGAGAAAAAGGATTCATGTAGCCGACCCCACGTAGTGGGATAAAGGCTTGTTGTTGTTGTTGTTGTTGTTGTTGTATATTCCTATTATTTTTTTAGCGGAACAAACAGCTCCTAAAACAATGTAGCTTAAAAGGATAATAAAACGTGCTATTTGATAACCAGTGCGGCAGAGCATCAGCTAATTGACCATGTAAAAGCATGTAAACAAAGCATATCAAATACAAAAGTCTAGTTAAAGAAGTATATTAAGCAACCATATTAGTTCATAAAAAGCAAAAACTATAAAGGTTCCATCAATGAACATAAAAATGAAGTGTAAACAAAAGTTGGATAAATTGTGGAAAATTATTAATCCCTTGATGTTTCGTATTCCAATTACAAAAGGAGATTTGATATCAAACAAAAAGCCTCAAGAAAATCAGTCAGAGGACCAGTTTAGGGGTATTTAGCTATCATTGATTAGAATTTACTATAGAACCCTGATGTGTGGGCTAAATAACTAAGACATAGATGAATATATCAAGGACCTGAAGAGCTAATCACATTTTCACCAGTATAATTGATTGACTCAGGATGCAGTACAAAGTTAAAGGTGCGGGAACCAACACTTGGATTATAATTAATTGAAGAGAGCTTTCCGTAGCTTAACTTAATCTGTTGGTTTAAATTTTACCTATCAATCAAAAGGTCTTGAATTCGAAGCTTGCATATGTGATGTGTATGTGAGTTTGTCTTAATTGACTCAAAAGTCTCAAAAATTTGAAGTGAGCTTTCTCTTCAAAGTTCTCAAATATTTTATCCACTGTGTAAATAGCAATAAATGGGTGTGCTGCTTCAATGACATCAGAAGTATGTATCGTGTGCAAGCATATTTAAAATTACATAGAACATAACAAATCTAATTTGAAATCGACGGCTGCAAAATTGTATTCAAGTTATGTGAATGCAAGCATAATCATGTAAGCTATAAATAGAGTGCAAAAAAAAAAGGGTCCAAAACCTTGAGGCATCCAAGTCTCTCTGACAGAATCACGCCTCTTCCTACTGCTAAATGCAGTATTGATCCCAATAACAACGAAAGCCTTTTTCCTTTGCCGATGGGATCCTGCAATGGTAGGAGAACCGTCCAGACCCATCAGCTCATGAGAGCTCCTTGTCGCAGCCAACTCCATTTCAAGTGATGATATTGCCTTATCCAAAGATCTGACATCAATAAATTTCCGAGATATATCAAACAACCCCAATCCTCAAATTAACACAAATATAAATATAAATCAAAACAAATTGCTCGGGAAATTTCAACTCACCGTATGGCTTCATGGGTCTTCGTTACCTCTCCCATTATATCATTATCGTGCCCAAGTTTCTGTTGCCATGGTAAATTACAGTTAAAATAAGAAGAAAGAAATGCTTAAAAAGAGTAATACCGGCTGAATCGGGTAAGTTCTGACCGTTTTAGTTGAACAATCTTCGGAGACGGCGTGAAGCTCCTGCTCCTGCCACCGCTGCGTGAAGAACTTCCTGTTCGAATCTGGAATCGGCCAGAGCCTACACGACCGAAATGCTTCATGATTAGAACAACATGAATTGCTCCAGAAGAGGATGCTTTAAATAAAGTATCCATTCGTTCACGAGAAACACATTTATCTCAACCAAAAATATAAATTCTTTAATTTTCTATTTCTCCATTTCGGCGAAGAGATAGATAATCAACCTATCCGTGAACAGCATTCCGAGCCCGAAGCTCGCAAGGCAAAATAAAAAGATCCATTTCGATGAAACCCTCCTCTCTGCTCCGCCGATTCCCCTTGGCTTTTGCATTTTACTCGCTTCTCTCGTTTCCATCGATTGGTTAAAAACAGATCCTCCTTAAAAGGAATGAGAGAGAAGATGTTCCAGACTAGACGATGGAGGAGGAGACAATACGACGAAGAGGACAAAGACGACGAATGTCAAAAGCGTCAGGTTGAAGGAGGAGCACTGGCTAAGTAGGAAGGAACTCGTCCACCTGTTGACATCGGGCGTGAAAGAGATGATTCTCTTGGCCGGCACAGAATGGCTGTCCATATGGCGTCCAGCGGATTGGATTAGCTGATATTTGGGAGGGACGGGAACTCTTCTTCCGTCGTCTATGAGCGCAATATAGTTAGCTAAATAATAGTTTTTTTTTAGGTCATTTATTTCTTACGCTTTTTAGAATAAATTTTTTACTTTAAAAAAAAAATACACAGCTCATTTTGATCTATTTGTTGAGAGCTTAAGCTGTCAACTAAGAGGTCTTGAATTCAAGTCATTGTGTATGCGTTGTGTGTGTGAATTTTTTTTAAATGATCTAAATATCCTAAAAAAAATAATAAAAAAATGTCCCAAAAAGAATTTGGGCATGTGCCGGGACCTCACCTAAATTTGTTATTGGCTGAAAAGGGTTTTTATGAAAAAAGAATGAGTCAAGATACCTTGAATCAAGTTGCATGATATTAGGAGGAATAAAAAAATTTGAGGCATATAAATTAATTCAAATCATAACAACATAAATATGTGGCATGAAAATTAATTTAGGCTGCAAAAGTGAGGGCGAGGGCCAAGAAGTTTACACACATCCTCTACTTGCCAATGACTTTCTGGATTATCTTCATATTTGAGACCCCAATTAGTGTACTAGACCTTCCTGATAAAGTCGACGTCCAAAAACGTGTCTATACAGCTTCTTTGATGGGCTTGGCGAGTATGGTTGTTGTCTTCCGGATCTTTTGCTTGTGTCACAACCCAATCCAATACAATCTACAGCGTTGAAATATATCGTGTTGGGGCCATAATAGGTGACCTCTTTCCAAGCAGCTTATAAAAATTTATTATTTCTTAATCCTAGTAAAAGCATAGTGGGAATGGGGTATAGGTCTCCTTGAAGGTCCTTCATCTGATGGGAGAAGAAGATGGAGATGTCAATTTCTCTCCATAAACAAAGACATAGAGGTGCATGTCACAAAAGGCCTGTATTTATTTCGCCACCAATTGTCAATGAAGCCAAAAGGAGAGTTTTTTGCACATTTTTAGTCAATTAAAAAGGGAGATCGATAGAGAGAGAAATTGAATCAGAGAAGTTCGCATATGAGCTTCCTGCGACACTTTGGCGTTGAGCGAGGAAGACTGAGCAGTGCAAGCGACTAAGGCTTCGTTTGGGATGACTTTTTTACTGTTTTCTAAAACGGAGTTTTAGTACAAAATTTTTTATTTTTGTTCTAAAACTTCGTTTTAGAAAGCAATAAAAAAACCGTCCCACACGAAGCATAGTTGATTTAAAGGTTAGGGTTTTATTTATAAATTATTTTTATGTTAAGTTTTTTTTTAAGCTTAGAATTTTTAATGAGAAGAATATGAAATTTTCTATTTTTAAGCTTACAAGATTTTTATAATAATTTAATCTAGAAAAATATATATTAAGTTGAAATTTAAAACTAAGAATTCTTTTTAAATTGTGATAAAATAAATTAATGAATTATATATTTGAAAAAATTAGAAAACTAATATATGGATATGCATAAAAATTTAAGATCGTTCTCAAAATAATTTTAAATATTTATTTTATAGTTTGTGACAAAGCATGCATATTATTCAAAATATCATAGTGTTGCTGTAATTTAGAAGCATGACATGCTAATTAAGTTGTATTATAACTCACATCTATCATTGATCAAATGTGCACATGTATTATCTAAAAAAATTTTAATTAGTAGAAGAGGGGAGAAGTGTATTGTATATATAAGCGAGGCTCTTGGAAAGAGGTAATTATTTGAAATTGTTATAATATTTCTGTTAAAATACATTTGGAGCTTGTAGTTATTTTTTTGGTTTGTTGAAAATAGTTTATTTGTAGTAGCATAGAGAGCAAATTATTTCATAACCGTTCAATCGTTTATTTCAACCTCATTAATTCGAGCCTTTATGTCAGTTCGTGATAAAAGTGGCATTAGAGAGTAATAATTTTCTTAGGAATATGAATCGTAGTGAAAGAGCCACATGATTGATTAATATATTGTCAACTAGGAAGACTTTATGGAGCTTTGCAAGGGAATTTGTTCATACCTATTTTTATAAGGAGGTAGAAGTAAGTCAAATTCATAAGATTGGTGCAAGGAGATAAATCAATAATGCAATATGAAGTAAAATTTACAATATTTTCAAGATATGCATCGCAGTTGATTGCAACTATAAAAAAAATGCTTTTAGAGGATGCAATTAGGCAATATTTAGTGCCTTTAGGAATCGATGACTATGCAATATCGGTACAGAGATAGAAGGGTTGACATTGACTTCCAAATCAATCAGAAGCAAAGATATCAACATAAAATTAAGAATATCAAAGAATGTGTGTATAATAATCAATCTGAATGATCAAATGCATAAGTTCAACACAAGTGGAGTTGATAGGTTTATTGTCGGTAGAGTGATAGAAGCTAATGTTAAATATGAAAAGTTACACAATAGTAAATATTTGATGGGTTTCAACACTTGTTTTTGGTGTTGGCAATCTGGATGCATAACAAATTTTTACCCTGCAGAGGTTTCAAGAGAAGTGAAATCAAATGAAGCATCTCAACAAAATAATTATAGTAAACAAAAGATGATATTACTGATGGTTTTAGCTCTGAAACAAAATAAACTAAAATAGAATGTTCGACCACAAATTTATGTTTTCACTCAGCAGTAGCCTTATAAACCCATTGATGTTGACAAAGTTATTTGAGAGGAATGTAGCAATTAATGCAGGGTAATTTATCATGTTATATTAGTTGTTTTACTTTTAAACTCATCGGGTTTAGTTGGGTTGGCGGACGAGCATGATTGGGAACCCCCTAACTCATTTTTGATTGCCTTCTCATGCTGTGCGACCTCGTAAGTGGGGAGAGAACAACTGTGGATTATGCATCTGTGGGGTTGGTTGCTAGTAGACTCATCTGAGGGATTAGTTATGCCTCCAAGCGCCTCCTATGAGGGATTTACAGGTAGATACCCCGTTCTAAAAAAATAGTTTTTTTAACTTTTCGCAGTTTTTTAGTCGATGTTAAAATTTAAAATTTAAAATGTTTTTTTTTTTTTTTTTTAACTGAAGTAGCGAGTAGCTATATTTATGTTAGCTCATAGTAGTATACTGTAACTAGAAATCATATGTACATTTTGAGGATGAATTTTTTTGTAATTGGGGAAGATTGTAATAACCCAACGAATGTTGGTTTCATTGCTTGAAGACGAAGAAAACAGGGGGGACTGCAGGAGTCACGTCACCTGGAGTCGGGAAGGAGTCGAAGGATTGATTGACGTTTGAGGAAGACGAAGGAGATTTTGATTTTGCTCGATAAATGAAGGCGAAGTGGCGTATGTCGCGACGGGTATGTGTGGATTATGTTACCTTGTGTCGACGAAAATGAATGGTGGGGTTGGTTCCACCGGGTTCGCCGCTTTGAGTCGAGGAAGACAAAGAGGTTTGTGTGGACTCCATTGCTTGGCGTCGTGAAGGAGAAACGGTTTCATATCCTTGTGGTCATGCGAGAGCAGAAGATGGGGAGAGACCGAGAGAAAGAGAGAATATGTGAGTCACATGAGTGAGGTCGGTGATGAGCCAGTTCGGGTAAAGCATGCGTGATTCAATGGTGCAGGTGACCGATCTTGCGGGATTGAGCGAGGGATTAAGGGAATCTCCAAAGAAGCGTCTTTCATTCGTCTGTATGCAGCTACCGTCGATCAGTATATTTTTGCTTTTTATTTCGGGTGTTGAATTATTAGCAATTTTTTTTAAAATAAATATAAAACAAAATGTATATATAATTAATATATATCTGCATGCATCATCAAAAAAATCATCTTGATCGGACAAGAAATCTTGATCGGCAACATCAAGTTGGAAACTTCCAAAGTTAAAATTGAGACCATCCGAACTAGTCGATTTCAGCAAATTTACAAGTTAAATTGAGCGCCACAGAATTACAAACCCAAACAACAGCCCAAAATTAATTCAAATCCGAGCCCAAATGAGTTCAAATAAAGACTCAAGCATGTTTGGAAGGTTCAAACCACAATTTGGATTACCAAAATGACATTGCTTATAAACAAATCGATTCGACTTAACGAGGACAAATCCAATTACCCAAGAATCAGTTGAATCCTTAAAATACTAAGACTTCAATGTTCAGTAAATTGTCTATGATCAAGGGAATCAACATCGGTCATCCATCCAAACCACTCCAACTTACCCCTGATCTTCTATCTATTTGCAAGCCACGCCACTCTAGAAAATCTATTAATAGAACATTCATTTCTCATAAAAGGGGACCCCCAAGCAAGGAATCAAAAGAGAGATTGAAGATCGCTCTTGCCTCCTCGCTCCTCCTCGACCACTGCCCGGACTTCCGCAGGACCACCACCTGACGCTAGAGTTTTGTCGGACCACCACCCGAAGCCGGAGTTCTGTTGGACCACCGCTCCATGTCGGAGTTCTGCCAAACCACCGCCTGATGCCAGACTTCTGTCAAGACCAACGCTTCCGCCAGAACACGGCCCGACACCCGAGTTCCATTGGACCATCGCCCGACGCCAGAGTTCTGCCAAACCATTATCGGTCCACTAACTGAGGCCTGAACTTTTTTCGAACCACCTATCGAAGTTGGAGTTCCTCTAGACCACCGAATAACAATGGAGTTCTACCAGTCCACCACCCGACGTCATAGTTCTGTCAGACCATCACCCGAAGCTAGAGTTCTACCAAACCACTGCTTGATGTCGGACTTCCATCAAGACCACCACCCGACATTGGACTTCCGCCGGATCACCACCCAATACCTGAGTTTCGCCGAACCACCGTCTGACGTCGGAGTTCTACCGGACTACTGCCCGACGCCAGAGTTCTGTATAACCACCACCGGACCACCGACTGAAAACCAAAATTTCATCGGAACACCGATAAAAGTTGAAGTTTCGCCAAACCATCGAATAACGTTGGAGTTCTGTCGGACCACCACCCAATGCTAAAGTTCTGCCAGACCACTATCGAATGCAGGAATTCTGCTAGACCACCGCCTAACATGGGACTTTCATTACGTCCACCGCTTGAAGACGAACATTCGTCGAACTACCACCTA